TATACTTTAAAAAAACACTTGATGTAAACCACCCTTAAAAACCTAAATCCACCCCCTAAAAATTTTCACCGTCTTTGTAGCCGATATTCCCACATTTTTAATTATACCTTTTTAATAATAATTATCCTGTCATGTACGCTGGTGGCTAGCAATAAACGCACAAATTTAAATCGACATTATGAATCTTATACTAAGACAGTCATGTTTAGCATCAAGTACGGCTTGATGCCAAGCTATGTCTGAAAATTTGATGTTTAAGCACTCACTAAGAATGACTTTTATTCTGGTTTTGAATCTTACTAGATGCACCCTCTATAAAAATAATAGATTCGATCGTAGGGAGTAAAGGATTTTTAAGGATATTGAAAAATTTCCTAATTTAAAAAAAGGCCATGTGAGCAAAGAGAGATGGAGGAAGGTGTTTTAAAATTCCAAAAATATCGTCTATTGCTATAAAAATAAGAATTTACTGACTCCTTACCAATGGAGAACTCAAATGCGATAAATATATCAGGTATGGATATAATCAAAAAAGTTAAATGGAATTGTAATGATTTCGCAATGTTCGATTTTGGTTTGATTGATTATAAGTCCACGATTGTTAGTGGAAGCCTTAATAATATTAACTAACAGCCTTTCCCACCTCTACAGAATGGCCGGAAATGACCCCATTATCAATAAACCATAGATGTAGGGGCAGCGAACACTCATTTTTAATTTTAGCCATCAACTCATAAAATCCCAGACAGAATAATATGGAGCCCAGGAGGTCATTCTGCTGACTACTTTAAAGAAGGTGATACGGAAAGGCACTGTACGCAGCGGGGAGAGACAGGGGCAAATCCTTCCCCCCCCCCCCCCCAAGCAAAAATGCAGATGCCGGATTATATTTTTCAAAAATATTATTGTTAATATTTATTCTTATCTCATATATACACATATATATATATATATATATATTTTATTTATCACATTCATCTACTAAGTTATTTTATCAATCAATTTCGATTCCAAGTTTTCCTTGGCGTAATTTACCCTATTATTTTCAAATTTTAGTGGCGTAATATTTATCTAAATTTCTAATAAAATAATAATCATCTGAAACTCCTTGTCCAACAGGGAGAAAAAAATTGCAAGCTTGTCCAACGAGATCGAGTCTCCGCCACAGTAACAGCTATTTTGGAGTTGAAGAAGAGCTGATTATTAATGCTATTACTGAAATATCCCCAATGGCTTGAAAGAAATATTTCCTCAGAAGCAAGAAAATTGTTGGATTCAATGACTTATTCCAAATTTTATTTCACTTTAGAATGTATTATTTAATTATACAACTATTTTTATGTAATACTTTTAAAAACATAACATTGACTTGATTAAGAAAATGAGAATAGCGGAGAGCATTTTGTTAGAACTCAAGGAAATTAGAGCTAATGTTGATAGAAGAATTTCATATTTTATATGTTATTGTTGAGTCAAAAGCAGAGGTATACTTGTTTAATATTTGTCCCCCTCGACATGCGGCAAGCAAGCTCATCATCAAAACATTAATATGGGATCAGTAGAAGAGTATTATAAAACCAAATGTCCCCTCTCCCAACCTTTTTCATATGGTGATAGAAAAAAAAAATAAATATTTGTTATATTTTTATCATGAAGATGTTAAAATATCTTATGATGCCTTATTAGCTGAATAACTATGATTAAAAGATTAACTATGGTTGATACGAGTCCCAAAAAATGCTATGGATGCTTTTTATTTCAAACACATTTTAGATTATACTCCCAATTATTAAAATGGTTATATATATATTAGCAGCTCTTTAGTAAACTAATGAGAGGACATTGTTCACTTTTTTAAGAAAGGAGAATAACAGAGCCTTGCAGAGGTACCATTTGCGGGACCAGGCCAGATTATATTTTAAAATTTTTTCCGGCCGGGTTTTTTTTTAAAAAAAAATTTTCAGGCCCGGCCCCGGCTGGCTTAGCCGGAATTTTTAAAAATAAGTTATATTTATTTTTTTGATATTTATAGCTAATAATGGAGATTTCAAATATTTGGTTTTAAAATATACAACTCGGCTCGGATATATTTTCTTAAAAAAATTTCAGGCCCAGCGCGGAGTGTTTTTAAAAAAAAAAATTACGAGCGCCGGCCCGGAGTATATTTAAAAAAAATTAAAATACGGTCCGGCTCGGGGGCCGGGCCTGCAAGTCTGTGAAAAACATACCTATGAAATACAACATCTGAAAGTAGATTAAATGATTTGGATCTTTTGAATATTCATAGACATTTAACGCCTAGCAAGGATTGATAATTGAAAAATTAGCTCAAAACATACAAAATACAATTATTCCTAAGAAACTTTTTGTGTATTAATTTATATTTACAACATTTAAATTTTTTATACTTTATATATTTTAAAAGCTCAAAAAATTCAAATTTCAATTTTGGGTCATTTAGGTGATTCATATCGTGTGTTATATTCACTTTATATTTTATGATTCACATTTAAATGCCGGTTTATATATATAATTTTTTTAATTCACATTAGTTTAAAATTGTGTATTAGAAAAGTTATTAATCCTAATAAATTTATGCTTAGTATTTTTAATTAAAAATATTATTTCTTAAAAAAATTTATTATCCCCCCCCCCCCCAGACCAAATTCCTGCGTACGCGCCTGAGGGGATAAGATGGCCAAATACCAAATGGGATAGTTTTTATAGGATGAAAGGATATAGTTGGTAAAAAGTGGGAAATTGTTTTATGCATTGTAAATAGATACTTTTCTATGAATGTTATTGTACGCTTTGCTAAAGTCGATTTTAACAAAATGTTGAGCGATTGTAATATTCTGGACTTGACGCTGTATGTATGGCTAAGAGCTCACTAAAAAAAATTGTTTTCAAGATTTTTAAAGATTTAAAAATATTTTTAAATTCAAAATAAATAAATAAAACATTTATTTATATATGAAAATAAAATAAAATAAAAATTACCAATCATAAACAATCAATCCCTTATTAATTAATATTTAAAAAAATATGCATTAAAAAAAATTACATAAAAAAATAAATAATATGTCCATCGAAAAAAGAGGGGTATAACCACAAAGGTGTACTAATTTTATTCAAATTCATATAAATATTTAAATAATAAATGAAATTAAAAAATTATAATACTATAACCAGAGTCATAACTAAGTAAGAGGGCAGAGGTAGATTCCCACTTCATTCCTTCTGAAATTTGTTTATCCGTTAAATATCATTTGAAACACATCTGTTCCCCACACCCTACCTCCCAAAAAAATGTGCTTTTTTTTAAAAAAAAATGTCGAAAAATATTTATAGCCGTTTTTCAAATAGTTATAATATAAGTTCACTTTTCTTTAAAAAAATAATATCTAGAAAACCTCTTACAATGAACGTCTTTTTCTTGTGTCTTGCTTGATATTTTTTTGATATATATATTTATTATTCTTTAGCTATTTTCGCATCATTAGATTCGAATGTATTATGTATTCATTTACTCCTCAGTTCCCAATTGTCGCTCTGTATATTTCGCATTTGTCATGATATAAAAGTTCAAATTTTTTTTTAAATCTAAAAAACCGTTAATATTTGGCGCCATATTGCTAAATTCTGCGTTATTCATTCGCGCTTTATCTGTGCCATATCATGCAGACTTAGGTTCATATTCTGTGGTAGTAACTCTAGTTCACGCCTATATATTCGCCTACCCGTAACATGACGATATTTTCCATAGTTTAATCTGCGTCATATTTGATAAATTTCGCGTTATCCATTCGCTTTTCTTTTTATCAATTTTTTTTCGCTTCTGAATTTAGCTTTAGATTTCTTCTAATTCATTTTTTCGTAACCATTTACAAAATTAATTTTATTTGCTTTACATTCGTAATATTTCGCATTAGCTTTTACTTTATTTATGAATTACGTTATGATATAATAACAATGTCTCCTCTTTGAATCCGAAATCTGCCCCTTCTAGCAGAAACTTGTACAATTAACAAATGATGGTGTATTTTATATTTATGAACCAGTTATTAGCAGGTGCTCTTATTCGAGACTTTAAACTCACTCCCAGAACGTCTATTCGCTTCCCAGCTCATTCACAGAACCTCTTCAACTCACGCTTTTAATACCTCATTTTCCGATTTATTCTATCATACCAAAAATTCCCAAAGGCGTTAGGTGGCTAAGTGCGTCTACTCTTTTAACTTTAACATTAAGATTGAATGGCTTAAATATATATTATTTGGTTATAACACTTTCAAGCAATCTGACAAATCCTCAAGAATTTCCATAACCCAACAAATTTGACTTCCCCCTATGAAAAGTATGTTGTTATACGTCATTGAATTTGTCCCCTTATAGCATCATCATGCCATTATTGTGTAAATAACCTTTAAAAAAAAACGAAAATTGCAATATAAATTTAAATTACCTTGAAAACAATATTTAAAAATAATAATTATATTTATCATTTTAAATATATTAATAAATATACATTATTTAAAAATAAAATTACCTTTTTAAAGATTTTTTGTTTATTTTTAAAGATGACTATATGTTATAATTGTTCTTATCACGTTAATTTTTCCGAAAAATAAAAATCGATATTTATTATTTTATAGATAATAAAAGATGATGACGTTTTTAATAATGGCCGATGTAATTCCAAAAAAAGCATCGGTAATAAATATAGTAGGGTAGGGCTTATATACCTTTTAACAGTTAGCAGTAAGATAAAACAATGTCATTTGGGTATTAATTAACTTTTACCAAATTTCACAATATTTTTTTTTATAGTTATCGTGGAAAAATTATGCCAAAATTTTTTATATAAAAATTAATGGGAAAAAAAATAATATTTATTATTGATTTTTATTTATTTTTTAAAAGACGATCACGTTGTTTAAAAAAAATATTTTTATAAATTATTTTCATTTTAAATTTATTAAAAAAAACTATAAAAGAAGAAGAGATAAAAAGCATGTACGTGAATATAATAATTATTTTATAAAATCTGGACTATTTCGCGTATCAAAAAAAATATTGGGGATAAATTGTTCTATCTGCTTCGATTTGAATTCTTCTTTCTCCTAATTACTTAAATAAGTATTAGCTATTGGAAGAATGAGTTATGATAATACCATGAGATTCTATTCCAACACTCGGATGAATTCGGTATTTAAAAACAAAAAATTTAATAATATTATTATTATTTTTCTTTTAATTATGTAAAGAGATGTTAGATACAAATTTTACATATTGCTTTCCTTATTAAAAATTTCACAAAAAATAAAATTTGATTTTTCTTAAATAATTTTCAAAAATAATATTATGTAAGCCTGAAGATTTTACTCATAAGTATGGCAGAAAGGTTAGGACTTCTATCTTCTATTTGCCAAATCTCTATACTTAATATTATTATGATAAATCCGAAAGATTTTTGAGAATGGATTTTTTAGATTTTTTTTTTAAAAAAAATTGTTTTTGGCACTATTGAGAGTTAGGCTTAGGTCTCATCTATAGTAAGCGCGAAATAAAGATATGTATGCCGCTTTCCCTTCATTAACGGTTTGGCGGCGAAGTATACAAGAAATGAATATAAAATCATAATATTTAGATTCTATTTTGTATGCTTTGTCCGCGATTCGCGTTAACCATGAATTCGGGCACTAATTTTAAGGTCTCTCAAAACCTGTTATAAGAATATTTTCAACATCCGCCCCCCTCCCAAATTTTTCCCGGGTCTCGTTATATTCGATTCGAGGGGTAATGGCGTTTATCAACATATAACAATTTTCCTAAACAAAGGTCCAAATTTTATTAAATTGCGATAAAGGAGTTATTTAATTTCAATTCTAATTTTTTTTTCATAATTTCAAAAAGAAAATAACTGTACAGGGGATCGAACCAAATTGGTGCAATTTCTTTATCAGGGCAGGAGTACATAACCTCTGAGATCTTAGCTACACCCGCCACTCTAAAACATTGATTAATTTATTTTTTTTGTATTATATGGGATAATTTCCATATTTTTTAAAATTTTAAAAAATTTCTTCTTTTAAAAAATTACACTAAATAATCAATGAACCTTTTATATATTTTAAATTTTATTTTATCATACATAAGATATGATAATTTTTTTTTTTGCGAATAAAATAATTGTAAATGTTTCTAAAGGGTCATTTATTAAATCAAATAATTATTTTACACTTATATAATAATATAAATACCAAAAAAAAAAACTAGAAATAAATAAAAAAATTATGATTTGCCGAGATGAAATATGGACTAACATAAAGGGTCAATATTCAAAATAAAATAAATTTTACTTTCTAGAGCTCATTCTCTCAAAAATTGGTATAATACCATTTCTGCATTTCCCCTCTCACTTCACTAATATTTACTCAATAAAATGGAATCATTTTTTTCTTTCCTAAAGGAATAAACGGTTGCTGCCTCTCTCGGGGGGGGGGGCTTATTATTATTTTTTTCTGTTAAATTTAATTTGACTTTAATAATACACAATTTTTTTAAAATTTGTCAAAAGTAACTGGTTACAATTAGTTATCGGTAAATGTTTCTATAACAACACAGAAACATACTCATTGTTTAGTGCTATAAGGTGCCTCGGATTACCAATATAAATATTATTATCCGCATTTTTTATGCTCCGTTCCCATTGCGGGTTATGGAAAGTTTTGGAATAATTTGATTAATATATAAATTCAGGATATCAAAAGTTATAATAATTACTTATTTTTATTCAAAATTTACTGTTATCAATTGATTTTTTTTATCATCGAGTTTCAAATATCGAATATTTTTTTAAAAAAAACAACATTTTTTTAAAAAATTGTATAGTACATAAATTTAAATTAGGTTTTGTAAATAAAATAAACCTGTAAATTATATATCAATTTATTACAGCTGTTTCTTTTATTTTACACCTTTTTATGCTTTAAATTTTTTTTTTAAAACAATATAATCCAAAATTTATAATATTTGACCTTTTATTTTCGCCTGAAAAGGAATTCAAAAGGAAAGAAAAGAAAGAAAAGGGAGCATGAAAGAGAAAAGGAAAGGGATAGAAAAAAATCACATAACCTAAATTAAAAAATATAATATTTTCATTCATTCAAATATGATAGCAAGTAAGTCGAGAGTAAGTGAGACAAAATTAGAGTCTTAATGTGTCTAATGATATAAAATATGGTTTTGATTTTAGATGTGAGATAGGGAAAAAAAAAAGATTTAAAAAAAAAACCTTTTACTATCAGGTAACATTTTGAGAAAGAGTAACGCTGCGTTTATAGAAATCGCGTTATTTTCAAGCGTTGCATTATTTAGCGCAGTGGTTATTACAGCTGATTCAGTTTTTTTAGAAACTATTTAAAGATAAAGTTAAAATAGAAATAATTATTTTATAATATTATTTAAGGAAAATCTTTATTATACCTATATTTATCGAATTCGCCATTATATCGCATATTTTTTATTTATCAATACATCGCAAACATGTTTTTCAAATTTTATCCTAGCGTTATCATCATAAAGCTCCATAAATTCATACCTATTTATTGGCTTAATTTTGTAATAACGCAACGCTTGAACAAAACGCGTTTACTATAAATTCAGCTTAAGTGAAGGGCCCCCATCTGTTAATAGATTGAATAAGATAGATGCCTTAGCTTTATATAGTTTGAAAGTGATTATGATAGTCTTGTTATAGTAGGTGTTAGAATGGACAAAAAACATAATAGACAAGACATCTCTACCTAAAAAAAACTAATTTATTATGAATATCTTGGTTTGGTTTAAATAACGAAAAATTATCGATTTTGTGGAACATTAAACACAAAATGGTCATTTTTTTTTACCTCTTTTACTTACATTTATATATTTTTTTTTTATTAACAAAAGAATAATAATTATTTATAGACTCTTTATTTTTGAGGTGTGAGAAAGGGATTGGTGTGGCATAGCGATAAATCAATGAATGAATGCCTAAAACGTTGAACCACTTTCTTATATAAAAAAAAACTCTTATATTCAAAAACATATTTTATAAAAATCGTGTATAGTATTTAGAATCATATTATTGGAGTATACGATATTGGATCTCTATTGCGATAAGATAATACAGATCGCGAATAAACGCGCTCCCGAGTGTTGAACTATCGCGTTCGTTATTTCATTCGAGGCCGGTCCTGCCCTTGGCTCAAAAAAATATGAATGTTATATATTCCTTCCTATTTCCTATTTCTTACTTTTTATTTTTTGCATGATTGAATATCACAATTATAAAATGGAATTCAGTATTTATGCCATTAATTTTCGTAACATTATTTTGTAATAATTAGATACACATGATTAAATTATTTAAAATGATTTTGATAAATATTTAATATTTAATATTATAAGATTAAAATAGAGAATCAAATAAATATGTTGGGCTTGACATTTCCTGTCCCTCTTTCTAATAATGCCGGCCACGGACCGGAACGAGACCCGGGTTTCTTAAGATTTAAAAAAATTTGCCATCTGGCCCCGGGTGGCTCTCTTGATTTTTCAGGTTTCTAAGTTATATTTTTTAAAATAATGGTAATTTTATCTATGAAAAAAATTCAACCAATGAATTCAAACAAAATTCATAAAAGAAATAAATAATTAGGTAGGTATACAGTAAAATCTTTATGTAGCAAAGGCGGTTCAACAACTGTTAACTTTATACAGGTTATCAAATTTTTGATATAAAAAGCAGAAATCTATAAGGACAGGCCAGTTAAAATTTTATGAAAAGTCTGATCTAATCCTGCCCATTAAAATTCTACGTAAAGTGCAGCCTGACCCCTTTAATTTTCTTTGTGCGAATTTTCCGGCCATCATATTTTTAATGCCCTAAACCTGGCTCGGTTCACTTAATTATATCCGGGCCGGACTTAATTTTTTTTTTAAATACCCCGGTATGTCGGGCCTAAAAATACAAAATTCGGGCTGCCATGATGGTACCTCTCGCAGTCTCTGATATGTATTCTATATTTATTTTCTTTTCCCCAATGTCAATTAAAGTTCTTATAACTCTTCTCTTTAGAGGTTTGCAATGCACGGGTTTTAACCAGAACGCCTGCCCGCCCATAATATTTAAAAAATAAATTCACAGGCCAACCCCTGCATATCTAAAAAAATTTATTTAAACTACCCATCCGCACATAGTTATTTTAAGATTCACCGGCACGACTCCAATGTTTAAAAACTATTTTTTATTAGACCCTTTCATATATTTTATTTTAATGCATACTTATAAATGACGTTGTTACGGCTCAATTTGAGTCGATTTTTAGAAACTGCTAACTCAATATTTTAGCCAGAAAAATATTGCTTAAGCCTCAGGATCTCGCTAATGGATGTCCAAACCACTGTTCCATCCACAACAAAAATCTAAATATTTTGCCTTGCATAATATTGTTCTGGATAAAATATTGAGTCCGCCGTTTTTAAAAATCATCTCAAATCTGGTTGTTTAACAACATCACTTATAAAATATGCAATATAATGAAATAAAAAAAATATTCTTTATAAATAAGACGTCTATTCTTCTCATTTAACTCCACCTATCATCCGCTCATTATTTTATAGAAAAAATTTACCCGCTAGCTAGCCTTTTCCAGTTGCAGACCTTTAGATCACTATAACAACCGATGAATCATTTGTGTTTTGATAATTTTTCGTGAATTTTATTGACGGCTCTTAAAGTGCTTATAAACAAGTATAGTTGTAAATTTATTATGCAACAGTATATTAATTCAAAATCAAATATTAGCCTGAAATCATCTGACCCCAATTATAATTTTACGAAAAATGAGAGTTTTGTGGAACTCGGTCCGAATTTTATATATGAATTAATGAATTATTGACGGCCCGGCCCGTTAATTTTTAATATACGAATTTACCAGCTTTACCCACCCCATTAAATTTTTTTCGAGCCGAGCTTCCAATAAATAGTACTTCAAGGGACCTATAAGTAAAACGGTTGCTATAACGAGATGGTCAAAATGAAAAGGTCAAATTCGGAGGTTTTTTTTTTACACTGTCATCTTTCTTATTAAGAAAATTTATTACCATTACAAAACCAAAAAAAAAATTCTTATTAATTTTTAAACCCAATGTTAAATTATCTTAACGAATCTGCTAAAAAAAAATTCAGTTTACCAATTTTATCATTAATATTTAAATTTTCTTTTTAGATAAAATCATCATTCATTTATTTTAATCTAATATCGATATATAATTATACCATAATAAAAAAAAATGTTATCGGAGGAACTGGGTCTTGGGTGGATTAGCCTTATAAAAATTTTTTTAAATTATATTTTAAAAGAAAAATAGATAATCGGAAATATTAGTTTCTAGAATCGGATAATGTTTTAAAACTCATCCTTACCATGCATTAACATTTTGTTGGATAACGATTTAATAAAGAAAAAAGAATCAAATTTTATCCGACCATTATATTAATTTTTGATTTATATTTTTTATAGCCCAATAATGGCGATTTAAAATATTCGGCTTTAAAATATACGCCTTATCCGGCATAGGATATTTTTTAATTAATATTTTTTAGGCCCGTACTTGGGTCGGGCCTGCAGGTCTCTTATATATATATATATATAAATTATAATTATATAATTTAGGTTAATAAGTTACATCCTCTACTTAAAATAGTAACTTCTGTATTTTATTAATGAAATTATTATTTTTCTCTCTAAATTGTTTAAACCACAATTACTTAGGATTTCGATGTGCAGGGGAGGGGGGGGATAATTAAATATTTTTTATTAAAATTATTAAATTTATTAAGGCCACTATTGACAATTTCTCTAATTCACGAATTTAAATATAAAATTAATTATAAAATTTTAAATTTATATAATCGCGGCATATGAATCATTTAAAATAAACGCCTCAAAAAGGAATATTTTAAAATTTGATATTTAAATTACATTTGTCGGAAAAAATATTGAAAATATAGATTAAATGGATATAAATATATAATGTAAAACAATCTTATTTGGGACTGAGCTAATTTTAAATGATTTAATCAATGCTTGGTGGCAACTCCCTATATATATATAGAAGGACTAACAAAGACTACCCATTCAATCGATTTTTAGAGGTTACTTCTCAGAAATGTGGTAAAACGGCCTGAAAAATATTACGCAAACCTGAAGATTTTGCTAATAGAATGACCGTTGGTATGCCAATAATACAACTCCAAAATTTTATTTCGATTAAAAATCTATATGTTCTTTCAAGAAAACATTGAGATTACTATAGTTTTAAAATAAATTTATCCTTTAAATAAACTATTAATTGTTTTTTACTTTAACCTTTCGGACTAAATGGAAGAGTTGATCTTAAAATTAATAATTCAATAATTTTTTCCCCCAAAAAAATATTATATTTAAGTGTTACCCAGACAATTTATTCTTTAAAAAAAATCAATATGAAATTGTGAATATGTATTTTGTATCATATTTAGAAGTTTTTCGATTTATCTCAAATTATTTATAGAGCCAGTCAGATCTTTTTATTATAATCGATTTTTCAAAACTTTTTTATTTTTACCAAAAATATGTTATATTTTTTTTTTACACTCATAAATTTGGAGAATAAATCAATAAAGGAATAAAAAATTGATTAAGATATCGGCCCAAAATCACTGACCTTTGGCTAAGTGATTAGTTCTGCAGAAGAACTTTAAATCAGCAAAAAAACTACTTGGGAATAGATTATGGATTGTAATATAAGGAAGATAGACGAAGTTCAGGTCGATTGATGAACAAGGTGAATTATAGCGAAAAATATTATCGCGAATAAAACGGAAGTGATTAAAGTGTTTTTTGGAAATATCTCTTGTAAATAGGGCAATATTCCCTATAAAACTCTACACAAAACGTTTTTTTTTATAAAAAAAATATATAATTATTTTTCATTTTAAGAATTGAAGAGTCGGTAAATATTAGAGATAAATAAATGATAAGATATACTTTTTTTATATTTATTACATCCTCCAGGGTAAAGCATAAATTGTGTAATTCTATTTCTAAAATAATTAATTTGCCAAAAAAATTTTTTTTTGCCACGCCAATGCGATAAATTTTTAACAACCATGCAAAAATAAAATTATTACAATATTAAAATCAAGGATTATTCTTTGGAAAAAAAATAATGTCCCTTGAATTATAAAGGATAATTATGCTAAAAATTTATTCTTTATTAATTAATGTTATGTTTATCTAGTATGCGGAACAACGATTTTTTTAAAAATTTTAATGAAAATCAAGAAAACGGGAGTGAACCAAATAGGAACCGTTATAGCGAAACGAATTTTTTTAGTTTTTTGACTGATAGCCGTAATCGAACTTTTATACCAAATTGCTAAAAAGTTTTTGTTTTACACATATAAAAATTGTAATTTAAGACCATGTATTTGATAATTACAAGTCCTTCCCCTTCCCTCTCTTTCCTATTGAGTTATTTTTATAACAAATTTACTTAAATTTTTCTGTTTTACTTTGATTATATTTAAATTTAGATGATAATTGAAAGTAAAACTTTCACGATAAATAATTTAATATATTTTATTTAGAGTGATTGAAAATTCGATTTAAATATTTCAAGAATTTTAAACTCCGAAAAGTCCTTTATAATTTTTCTAAAATAAAACCGTACCCTAACTGGAACCTTTTAAATTTAAAAGCATCAGAACCGAACCGGAAATAAATAACGGTTTGGGTCCCTGATTCCGCTTACCTAGAGAGTTGTTTAGTAGGGTTTAGCTACATCCATCCAAGATACTTTTTAAAATGTTTATTTAAAACATACCTATAGACATTTCAGCCTGTTTATTTCCTGTATAACATTCTATTTTAGGCTAATATTCCTGCCAAGTTTCATGAATTTTTATTGAATAGGGGTTTTTAAGAGCTTTTTTTTAAAGATATTAACGCTTAGATGTTAAACAAAAGCAAATATTCTAATTTGCCAACAACATTTTTATGCCGTATGGCACATTTCTAGGGATATTTGGTAACGATGTCCATTTTAATTTTAAAGAAACTGAGCCCTCTACATTAAAAGGGGGATGGGGGGGGGGTGAATATATCGTTATTCAATATATATCGTGAGTATCCATTTTATAATTTAATTATATATTTCGAGTCTTCGGAGGGCCTTAGCATCAATGGCTTTTGGGGGTGAGGAGGGAGGTTAGCTGACTATGCAATGGGACTGGGGAATATGTTACGAATCTGAGACATAACCAAGGGGGGGGGGGTATTCTTTGGACTGCTGCGTTTAATATATTACTGTTCGCGAAAATTAATTATAGCTATTTCTTTTCTTGTAAAATATTGAAATAATAAGTCATTATTTTTTTTATATTTTTTAAAATTAAATTCTACTTTTTTAAATTGTTTACGATGACATCATGTCAAACATTCAAATTAACCCCCCCCCCCCTTGGTTATGCCTATGGATCTTATATTTTGTTTAAAATATTTTCCTCATCTTCCTTTTTATAAATTATATATAAGGCATAGATAATTGCAAGACTTTTCGATATATAGTATCAAACCTATTCAAAATAACGATCTCGTTTTATCATGCTATTGTTATAATTTTCATGTCATTGAATTAGACTATACTATATATTTAATCAATTTTTAATTACTTCGAAATAAAGCGCGAATGCATAAGTATCCACGTGGGGCAAGCCGGCGTTCAAATGGGGAATGCATGTTGGGAACTTTACTGCCTAGAACATGGAATTAATTATGATGGTCAAATGCCATCCGATCCAAGTTTTGGAGTAGCCGATGCCTCTTTCAATACTTTCTTTTCTGAAACTGATTCGGGTAAACACGTTCCTAGGGCGCTATTCGTCGATTTAGAACCTACGGTTGTTGGTAAATATAAATAGTTTTTTTTATTATTGCTTACCTCATAATATTATGTGAAATTGTTTTATTAGAATTTTTATTAAAAATTTAGTCTCTTTTTATGCGCATGTGCTACACTAAGCTACATAGATTCTCAAACAAGAAATAAGAACCGATTGGGCACCTACATATTGATAAAAATTGCAAAATTGGAAATTATCAAATAAAAAAGGAAGATAAATAATTTTATTTTGGCGATTTAATCATCGTTGCTTGATTGCTGAAATTCTCTATTTGCGTTCTAAAAAAAAATTAAAATCGTTATAAAATTTGTCAATCCTTAACAATTTTATATATAAAGTTTGATTGACACATAGACATAAACCGGGCCCTATCCCTCGAAGCCAATGAGGGCCTCCAAAATAACTGCTATAAATCTAATGATGCTGATTCCCACCTTTTAAAATTAAAATAGATTTTACTAATAGAGTATTCCTGAGTTATCCCCACCCCCCTTCCCTAAGATTTCAATGAAGCATCCATTTTTTGGCAACCCTAAATTTAAAAAATCATAATACCTATCTATGCACTCCAATAATTGGAATTGCAGAATAAATTTAATACATATTTGTCCATTTTAGCATCATTTGTCAAAACTTAATTGGGTTGACGCATTTAAATATTTTTTTGAGTTTGGATTGGCAATCAGCAAATAGAGTCCTTCATGAAAAATATTTAATTTTATTTTTAAAATAACACTATTCCATCTTTAATATAAACTTTATGTGAAGACTACGTTTGATCGAAGAACTAGTTAATAAATATTTCGCAAATATTGAAGAATTAATAAATATTATAATATGCCGTTGAAAAAGGAATCATCCTTTTGATATCCATTCTATGTTATTTTTTTTTTGCCAAAATATGAAATTCATTTATTTTTGAAGTTATTTCATTGGCCTATTTCTAATAAGCTAATTATATAAGAGCTGGGTTTAAACTGGAAAGCCCCCACCCATTATTTGAATATATTTTAACCCGCTATCTTGCCGACTCATGGTATTTAAAAATAATTACTCGCCCGCTATTTATCAAATAAAATCGTTTAAGACTCCGGCCCAACATTTTAAAATTATATAATAGGTTAGCTTGGCTTATTATTTATTATATTATATTTTTACTTAAACTTATAAAAATGTGATATTATACAAAAGGATTAAGTTCTAATAAATATAAGCTCATTCTGTTCCATTACACCCGAAAAATATTTCAAATCCGATCCGCAGATTTATTGTTTAAATTATATTTATAAGCCGTCCATACTCCCGTCCAATATTAACTTTTAACCACCATTTTAGACATGCATCTAAAATAGCTATCCGATTGAACTTAAGTCCGAAATAGGTTTTTATTAATAATAATAATATTAATATTAATTAGATGAGATACGCACCGGCCCCTACAAGAACCTGTTTCACCCCGAACAAATGATAACGGGAAAAGAAGATGCTGCCAATAATTATGCCCGTGGTCACTATACGGTCGGGAAGGAAATAATCGATTCTGTATTAGATCGAATTAGGAAAATGAGTGAACAATGTCCCGGATTGCAAGGGTTTTTGGTGTTTCATAGCTTTGGAGGGGGTACTGGCAGTGGATTCACATCCTTACTCATGGAAAGACTCTCCGTGGAATACGGTAAAAAGGCCAAATTAGAGTTCTCTGTTTATCCTGCTCCTCACGTAAAAATATATTTATTCGGCATTAATTACTATTTATTGTGTAAAACGATTCACTATATAAACCCTGTTATAAATGATAGATATCAACGGCCGTAGTTGAACCCTACAACTCGATCTTAACCACTCATACCACTTTAGAGCATTCCGATTGTTCGTTTATGGTAGATAATGAAGCCATATATGATATTTGTAAGCGAAACCTCAACATTCAAAGGCCCGGTTACACAAATCTGAACAGATTGGTGAGTCAAATAGTCTCCAGCATAACTGCTTCCCTCCGATTTGACGGAGCGCTCAATGTTGATTTAACCGAGTTTCAGACCAACCTCGTGCCTTACCCAAGAATCCATTTCCCTTTAGCCACTTACGCGCCTATCCTATCAGCTGACAGAGCTAGTCACGAAGCAATCTCGGTCTCAGAAATAACTAACATGTGCTTCGAACCCAACAGTCAGCTGGTTAAATGTGATCCTAGTCATGGCAAATACATGGCATGTTGTCTTCTATATAGGGGCGACGTAGTTCCAAAAGTAATTTAATTTTAGCATGTCTTCTTTTAGAGTCCTGCATGCGGCCAATTTTTTGAGGTACTACTCGATCCAAATAAAACGTTAAAATTTTTTAATCCAGCCGACCCAATCCAAGAATTTTAGATCTTAGTCCAGATGTTTTTTAGGTATAGGTCTGATCTGAATTCTATCTGAATTTTATAAAAAATGAATTATTTAAAAAGCATGATATTTCAAAAAATCGGGAAAATTATAAGTTTCTAAAGGATAATAAACAATTTTGTTAAATAGATTTTAAAATCCAAATCTAACCAATTGCCAGGAATTATCCTTTCGAATTCAACCGACCCGAGTTTGATCGGATTATATTGGTTGTTGCATAGCTCTACTATCTTTTGAACCCTACTTAATCCAAATATTTGAAAATCCTTTTATGCCTAATATTTTTTTTAACCTTTATTATTATAACTAACTTGGAAAAATAAAGGATGTGAACGCGGCCATCGCTGCCATAAAGATGAAACGTTCGATACAATTCGTCGATTGGTGTCCAACCGGTTTCAAAGTCGGAATTAATTATCAACCCCCTACAACAGTTCCTAATGGCGATCTAGCTGCTGTTCCAAGAGCCGTATGTATGCTAAGTAACACAACAGCTATAGCTGAAGCATGGAGTCGGCTAGATCATAAATTCGATCTCATGTACGCGAAAAGGGCTTTTGTTCATTGGTAAGTTTTAACAAATTTTTGTTTATTTAAATTTGAAACAGATTATTTAATTGTATATATATTTTTATATTTATCATTTCGTTATTAGGTATGTTGGAGAAGGAATGGAAGAAGGAGAATTTACTGAAGCTAGGGAAGATTTAGCGGCTCTTGAAAAAGATTATGAAGAAGTAGGTATCGATACGTCCGAATTAGAAAACGCAGCCAACAATGCAGAAGATGAATACTAGTGCTGGGAAAATTAAATCCTCTTCTTTGCAATATTTATGTTTATAATTCGTTTATTATATGTAAACTTTAGTAATTTATATTTGTATATAAAGTTTACTGTAATGGCTTTGAGTCCTGTATCCTATTATATGTTCGCTAAACCCAAATTGCCCAAACATCGAATAATTTATTGACATATATTATTTATATATATAATTTTAAACCATGTGATGTATTTATTCTTCTTTTTATATTATAATTAATTGTTAATATTTTTTATATTAATAAAAATAATTGACTGCCTTTGTTATCTATTTTTATTTAAAAAATATATAAATATCACGATAGAAAATCAAAACATTTGTATTTAAAAAATGTTAAAGTCCCTTTTTATATCTTAAAATTATCCATTGTAATAATTAAAAGTCGACTTAATTACTTAGATAAAAATTTACTGAATATACATTAAGGTGATTTCTTTAGAGTAGTGATTTGGGAGCTAAAACCATGCTTATAAAATATGCGAAATCATAAGACGAACTTGGTAAAAATATTTTTCTAATTTTTTTGTATAAGAAAACCCAATAAAGTGTTTAGATTGAGGACAGTTAAATATTTGGTTAGCATTAGCATTTGAGTTTGATTCTATATTTGTATTAGATATTATTTTGATTACCGAATACATGTTTAATATAAAGAGTTTTATTTTATATATATTTCACATTATTTTAATCCATCATATATTAAAATTAAAATTAAAATATGTAAAAAGGATTATTATATACAAAAAAAATAAAATATGTAAAAAGGATTTAAAAAAAATTAGGTTAGCTCCTTAGGAAAGAGACTTCCAATGGAACTGATGTAATTCGATTTACGAATAACAATTGAGAGTTTTTGGCTAAGGTAAAAACTTTCCATGGGTTCATCAGTGATTTTACGAATAAGAGAACTGAGTTCATTGAAGAAGACTAAAGCACGGCTACCAAATGTGGCTAATGTAAGGAGATTAATAGGTATAAAAATGTATTCATTGGATATTTCCGAATATTTATTAATTTTGAATAGCTCTTTGATGTCCAAGATATTTGTGCAAAGATTTGTAGAGGTTAGGGGATCTATACAGGAAGAGTCCCAAACTAGAAATTTACGTCTCTTGCAAGGAATTGGAGTAATGCCATTTGCACCTTTTCCATCAGATCTAAGAAGATCACAGGTTATAGGATCGATAAAATCTGTTTTTATGAATGGCAGTACAGGCTATGTCTTCCCTTGGAGTCAATAAGAATATTACATCAAGAGCAAAGATAAAGTTGGGTAATTGAGCAATGAGACTGATTCCAATGGCATGAGTGAGTTCATATTTGGTGAGTTGTAAAACAGAAGGGATAGCCTAGAGGAACTCGTGTCCAGAGCCATTTAGCAGTGACAAAAAGAGAGGGCAATCTAGGGGTTGCCTGCTTGATAGTAGAGTTTAGATACAGGCAACAAGTGCCCCGTTCCCTTTGTTTGAGGTAAAGGGGTCTCAACAAGAATTCGAGATCTTCATAGATCCAATACCTCAGTGAACGACCAATCGTCTACAGGAGAGTGAGTGATAACAATAGGTTTTGTTAATAATTAACTTTGGATAAGTTGTTAGTACTAAATCAGAAAGAGATCTGATGCCTAGACCGTCAAATTTTGTTAGAAGAGAAGCTTGAACCCAGGCAATTTTTCCAAACTTAAGATTTAGAATCTCTACGGTAGGTTCCATGATTTCCGTTTCATGCACATTCAAAGGACTAGGATATTTCAAAACAGAAGTAGTCCTTAGAGCGTAAAGAATCGGTATATTAAAAAAGTTTTTCAACAGAAAAAAAGACTATATGAGAGGAAAGGAGGAGATGGATATCATTCAATTTGATAAGAGTCTCGGTTAAATCCAGAAAGGTTCAAACAGCTGAGTTGCCTCCAACCGGGGATCCTAAGTGAATTAGTTGATCTTGATTAATTATTATTGTTGGAGTTAATTTCGGAACTGTTTAGTTGGATGAAATCTGATTTGCTTTGATTGAGAATTAACCCTAAAGAAGAGCTAATCTCTAAAATTAAATCGATCGCTTTATTGACCTCATTACATGAGCCACAGATTATACCATCATCCAAGTATCAAAAATGGAGAGAAAGAGAGCAGGAGACATTGATTGTCTTGATAATATCGCTGATTCCGAGACAAAATAGCAATGGGCCAAGACGATCACCCTGCTCTGAAAAATCCCTTTTATAGAAGGAATTTTATATGAATTAAATTGTGAAGTGGAAGAATATCTAGGAATTGAAAAATTTACTATATCCAAAAAAAGAGTAATAGCAGGAATGGCATTGGAAAATTATGATTGAATGAAGGTTTTATTTTCATTTAAAAACGTTACAATTTTGAATAAATTAAAATATACTATAAAACACTAATAAAATAAAACTTAAAAAACTATTTAATTAAAAAATCAATTTTATATTGAGTTCCCAAAAAGGAACCATAATTATGTCTAAAAATTTCAATTGAATTTTTTGGCGCATATATAAAAATTCTCTGGCTTTGTTTATAAAAAGTCATATTTTATTGTCTAGATTTATTAAAATATTTTAATGGCGAAAAATGGCTATTTGTAGAAGTCACTTTTCGAGTGAATATAAACTCAATAAAATTTTTGTATTTGTTAATCATTTTAGTTTCTGCCTGTATTATTGTGTTGATATTTAAATTTGAGGGGAATAAATATACACATTTATAGTACTATATTAGTGATTTACCTAGGACCCAAGGTAAGGTTGTCATACCATTATGTCTTAAGTCATCACTTTGAGATAAATTTGTGGGTTCAATATGATTTGGAATGTGGGCGGCTGTTAAACCTCAATCTATTATAGTACTATATGGCGTTGGTGTCCCACTTGACTAAATATAAAATTAATGCTGTGCCAACCCTATGAGTCGACGGGTGATTTGCATTTGATACATGCATGAGGCTGTACGATGACACAACCTAGACGTAAATCAATGGCTAATCTCAATTGTCCGTCTTATAAGAGATTACGAAGGTTACGACTAGGGAGTGATTCTAACCATTAATGATCACCAAGTCTATCAGTTGATTGAAGGAGTTGAATGCAATCTAAAGGTGGATTTACTTATATATCTATTTGGTATTTCTTAATTAAAGTTGTGAAATTGTTTTTGCGTCATGATTGATGGTAAATATGTTAATGGGTATATTAGCCTTCTATTTGTTAATTGCGCCATCTAATAAATAATCGGTAGGACACATGAAGCCTGAAATCATAAAATTATTTGTTAATCTGGATTAAAATATTTATCGGGATAAAAGATTGCGGTAAAAATTATAAATCGCCTAATTTAGAAGGTAAATGGGAGAGTGACCAATTGGGGTTTAAGTTTATGTTTAAAATTTTAAAAATATGCAAATATTTTGATATATATAGGCATTTGCGTATTAAAAATAAAATTTGGTGTGCTGGTAAATGTCATAGAATGCCCTCCATGCTGTAAAAGCTTTCTATGAAGGAAATCTTCTGACTTGGTAGCAATAACTAATGGGGATAGTAGCCTTAAACTTTCGATAGGAATGATTTTATAGCCTTCTAAATATGGCTTATTGTTTAATAAAAATAATTCAGTTTTATTTATGTTAAGTATGAAACCGGTAGCTTGGGAATTGGTTTCCAAGTATTTTAAATAAGTATCTTAGCTGAAGGACCACAGATGGTATCATCGTTTAAATAACTCAGATTAAGGTCTAGGTTAAAATTTTGTATAATTTGGTAAACGAGATGATGGATTCCAAAGCAAAAAAAAGAGGTCCTAATAAATCCCCTTGTTATATGCCCTTCTTAGAACAAATCTGTAAAGGTTCATATGTCAAAGGCGTCTCATATGAGGATTCAATAAATTTAGAGTAACAGGGGAAAATTTCATAGAAGAATTTTAAAAAAATTGGTACGATATAGGCTATCAAAGGCGTTTTTGAAATCTAGTACATATTACTGAGTCTGTAGTGGGTATTCTTTTTATATTCTTAAAGTATGAACCGCAATTTCACATTCGCCCTTAATCCCGAAACCTAGTTGACAAGAGTTTTAAATGTTGACAGCAATATGTATTATACTTTCGATTATGATTTTGGCTATTAATCTTCTGAAAAAGGAGCCTACTGCAATGGACCATCTGGCTTGGGTAAAGTAAATAGACGTGCTCCAAAAAGAATTTGATGAGTTTTTAGTCCTTATAAATATGTTATTACAAGGAGTAAAAACCTTGATGACAGAATTAGGGAAAGAACTTTTTGAATTAATTAAGTATTTCAAGACCACCGGGTAGATTATCTGTGGAAGATTCGGGATGTAGTTGTTCCAATAGTTGCAAAATTTCTTCGTAGAAAGATGGTTATCTGAAGATATAAGTTTAATTGCACGACCTATGGCGCTTTGATCTATTTGATTGGTTATTATTTTACATTTGTGTGTTATATCATCTACTTTTAATTGATATGGATGTTTGAAACTTCTAACCAATAAATATTGAAACCTAATTTCAAATTTCGTTACAAAGCATATGACAATAATGACAACTTTAATTGCTCAAAATCTTGGGAAGACTTACTAACCTTCTTTCAAAAATGTCTCGCCCCGTTAACAAAGAGACCTCACATGAACAAGTAAAATCACATCTGTTTAATATAAGAAGGATGGGGCTCAGTAATATTAATAAATGTTTGAATATTATTATAATTTGATTAGTTGTAGTTTTAGAAAAGAAGGACACGTTATCGCTCTACCTTTGTCACTATGATGAATTTTGCCCAAATGTTACAAACAGTTAAGTTTGTGGGTATGTGTAATGTAAAAGTGGTAAACTAATGAGAGGTAGAGCCAGTAATTTCGATTCTGCACATTAAGGCAATTATGGGCCAAGGTGACTAAATTGATTATCACGGTTATCAGCAAGTAAATAATTTGATAGTTTTATGAAAGACAAATTTATTTAAATGTGTTATTATAACTATTAAAGATCATTATATATTAAAATTATTTGACTTGTGTTTTTAGCTGGAAGGATATTATTAAAGGAGAGTGATTTAAAAAAAAATGTATAATGATATTAAGATAATAAAATAAGATCGATAAAGTTTCTCAATTAGCACTTGTCGTTAATTAAATATAATAAATAAATTCTTTCACATCTCACTTACAATTCATATAATATTTGTCTTATTTTAACTGAAAATTTAATTATTTCCTATATT